CTGCAAGAGAGAGAGAGAGAGGGCGCGTTCAGTAAAAATTGGGAGATGAGGCTCATGAGGGGATTATGTGATGATAATAGAAGATAAGGTAATCGGTTAAACGAAAAAATGGAAAATGGAGAATATATAAATGTTTGATTAGAAATACACTCAAACTTTCTTGCGGAGGTCGTTGCTGCAAGAAAGAGAGAGAGGGCGCGTTCAGTAAGAGTTGGGAGATGGGGGATTATGTGATAATAAAAGACGATAAGGTAACCAGTTAATCGCAAAAAAAAAACTTTCTTGGATGATGGTAAGTGAAGAATATATCAATGTTTGATTAGAAATACACTAAAAACATCTTGCGGAGGTCGTTGCTGCAAGGAGAGAGAGAGAGAAAGGGTGCGTTCAGTAAAAATTGCGAGATGAGGCTCATGAGGGGATTATGTGATGATAATAGAAGATAAGGTTATCAGTTAAACGAAAAAAGTGGAAAATGGAGAATATATAAATGTTTGATTAGAAATAAACTAAAAACATCTTGCGGAGGTCGTTGCTGCAAGGGGAGGGAGAGAGGGAGAGAGAGAGAGAGAGAGAGAGAGAGAGAGAGAGAGAGAGAGAGAGAGAGAGAGAGAGAGAGAGAGAGAGAGAGAGAGAGAGAGAGAGAGAGAGAGAGGACGCGTTCAGTAAAAGTCGAGAGATGAGGCTCATGAGGGGATTAAATGATGATAAAAGACGATAAAGTAATCAGTTAATCGCCTAAAACTTTCTTGCATGGTAAAAGAAGAATGTACAAAAGTTTGGTACAAGGAAAGGAAAAACAGTAAAAACCTTGCGTAGGTCACTGCTGCAAGGAGAGAGAGAGAGAGAGAATGAGAAAGAGAAAGAGAAAGAGAGAGAGAGAATGAGAAAGAGAAAGAGAGAGAGAGAGAATGAGAAAGAGAAAGAGAAAGAGAGAGAGAGAATGAGAAAGAGCGAGCGAGCGAGAGAGAGAGAGAGAGAGAGAGAGAGAGAGAGAGAGAGAGAGAGAGAGAGAGAGAGAGAGAGAGAGAGAGAGAGAGAGAGAGAGAGAGAGAGAGAGAGAGAGAGAGAGAGAGAGAGAGAGAGAGAGAGAGAGAGAGAGAGAGAGAGAGAGAGAGAGAGAGAGAGAGAGAGAGAGAATGAGAAAGAGCGAGAGAAAGAGAGAATGAGAAAGAGCGAGAGAAAGAGAGAATGAGAAAGAGCGAGAGAAAGAGAGAATGAGAAAGAGCGAGAGAAAGAGAGAATGAGAAAGAGCGAGAGAGAGAGACTAAGAAAGAGATAGAGAGAGGACGCATTCATTAAGAGTCGTAAGATGAGACTTATAGGAAGATAATAAAACCTCTTAGCCAATCAATCATTTTCTCCCAAGCTATTAAGCAAGATAAGGTAATCAAACCAATCGCCGAAAACTTTATTGCAAAATGATAAGCGAAAATACCTCTGATGTTAGGTTTGGAAAATCACTAATAAATGAAAGCATGTTTTAGTTAAAATAATCCGACGAGGCAATATTTCCCTTTTAATTTTAAAAAAGAGCCATAACAGTGCTATACTTAATAGAAAAGAGAATATAAAAAAGACATGATGTTGAACAGGACGATAATAAAATAAATAAATAGAAAAGAAAAAACACAAAAGAATATATAATCAAATCCAATAAGAATAACAATACGTAGCAATTTTCCTCCTTTTTTTTATCATACAGTGTAATTCAAGCGTGATTTAACAGCCAGTGCCAGATATGACTGACAAGGAATGGCATTTGCAGATGGAGGCTGAATATCTGTCTTCTTCACTGTCTGCTTTCTCTCGCATTCGCTTTTCGCTGAATTTACATGTGATGACAAATAGACAGAGTGAGAGAAAGAGAGAGAGAGAGGGAGAGAGGGAGAGAGGGGGAGGGGGAGAGGGAGAGGGAGGGGGAGAGGGAGAGGGAGAAGGAGAGGAGAGAGAGAGAGAGAGAGAGAGAGAGAGAGAGAGAGAGAGAGAGAGAGAGAGAGAGAGAGAGAGAGAGAGAGAAGAGAAGAGAGAGAAAGAAGAAAAGAGAGAGAGAGAGAGAGAGAGAGAGAGAGAGAGAGAGAGAGAGAGAGAGAGAGAGAGAGAGAGAGAGAGAGAGACCCCTGAGACAACCAGACAACCAGACAGAAAAGAGATACGATACAATATAAGAAACCAAAATCGAATCAACAAACAGCCTCAAAAATCAAAACACAAAGAGACGAAAGAGAGAAAATCTCGACTCCTCCCCAAAACGACAGAAACTGGAAACAACAGAGAGCGCACAAGCGTGACTGTGACGCTGCCTGAGAATCCGATTGTCATGGCAAAATCGGGGAGGCGCCGACGAGTCACACATAAGGGCGGGAAACCTGAGAGAATTTCTTAAAGGAGGAGGAAGAAGAAGAAGAGGAGGAGGAGGAGGAGGAGGAGGAGGATGAGGAGGAGGAGAAGAGGATGAAGAAGGAAAAAATAAAAGGAAGAGGAGGAAGAGGAGGAGGAG